TATGATATTTGCTCTGATATACATGTAGATGATGTATATTTCTCTAACTGGATTTTTTTTTTTCTCTCTCTCTCTCTCTCTCTCTTGCTCTCTCTCTTCGCTCTCTCTCTCTCCGCTCTCCTCTCTTCGCTCTCTCTCTCTCTCTTTCTCTTTGCTTCGCTCCTCTCTCTCTCTTCGCTTCTCTCTTCTCTCTCTCTCTCTTCTTCGCTCTTCTCTCTCTTCTCTCTTCGTTCTCTCTCTCTCTCTCTCTCTCTTCGCTTCTCTCTCTCTCTCTCTCTCTCGTCGCTTCTCTCTCTCTCTCTCTCTCGTCTCTCTCTCTCTCTCTCTCTCTCGTCTCTCTCTCTCTCTCTCTCTCTCTCTCTCTCTCTCTCTCTCTCTCTCTCTCTCTCTCTCTCTCTCTCTCTCTCTCTCTCTCTCTTCTCCTCTCTCTCTCTCTCTCTCTCTCTCTCTCTCTCTCTCTCTCCTCTCTCTCTCTCTTCTCTCTCTCTCTCTCTCTCTCTCTCTCTCTCTCTCTCTCTCTCTCTCTCTCTCTCTCTCCTCTCTTTCCCTTACTCCCTTCCCTTCCCTCCCTTCCTCCTATTCCCTCCCCCCCTTCCCTCTCCTTTCTTGCCTCTCTTTTTTTCTCTCTCTCTTTTTTTTTCTTTCCTTTTTCTCTCTCTCTCTTAATATATATATATATATATATATATATAGTATATATATATATATATATATATATATATATACTATATATATATATATATATATATATATATATATATATAGTATATATATATATATATATATATATATATATAATATATATATTATATATAATATATATATGGTGATGCCACATGATATTTTTCACTGTTGCAGGTACCAGCATGTGAAATGTTATGTCTATACAGGAGACATAGATGTAACTCCACAGGAAATCTTGCAGAAAGCACAGCAGAGATTTGGTGTAGTCCTTCCGCGGCCAGTGGAATTCATCTTCCTCCAAAGTCGGACGGTTGTGGAAGCAAGACACTATTCATTTCTGACTCTTCTTATGCAGAGTGTTGGGTCACTGATGCTTGGTGGTGAAGCCCTGTTGAAGTTCAGGCCAGATGTGTACTTTGACACCATGGGTTATGCTTTTACATATCCCATCTTTCGTTATGTTGGTGGCTGTGTGGTTGCCTCTTACACACATTACCCAACAATCAGTACAGACATGTTAGGTCAGGTTGCAAACAGGGTTGAAGCTCACAATAACAGAGGGTTTATTGCAAGGAACACAATATTCAGTGCCATGAAACTAGGATATTATCATCTCTTTGCCCTGATGTATGCACTTGTTGGCCGTTGTGCTCACCTTGTGATGGTCAACTCCACATGGACACATGGTCACATCACAGCTCTCTGGGGTCAGGCCCATCATACACACATCATATACCCACCATGTGATACTGAACATTTCAAAAGTTTGTCACTGATTCCTGATGCCAGCAAGAAGCTGAAAACTATTGTTTCCATTGGCCAGTTTCGACCAGAGAAAGACCATTCACTTCAGCTTCGATCTTTCCAGAAGCTGTGTGAAATTTTAGATCCAGCAGATCAGGAGAAAGTACGCCTTGTTCTAATAGGTGGATGTAGGAATAACGAAGACCAGCAGCGAGTGGATGACCTGAAGACCCTTGCTTCAGATCTGGGAGTTGCAGACAAATTAGTTTGGAAGCTGAATGCACCCTTTTCAGAGCTCCTAGAAGCTGTGCAGACAGGGACCATAGGCCTGCACACCATGTGGAACGAGCACTTTGGGATTTGTGTGGTTGAGTGCATGGCAGGTGGGTTGATCATGGTAGCACATGACTCCGGTGGACCAAAAATGGATATTCTGCTGGACTATGAAGGCCAGAAGACAGGTTATACTGCATCAGAAACAGAGACATATGCTAAAGTGATGAAAGAGATTTTAGAAGCTAGTGATGCAGAAAGGGAAACTATACGTACTGCAGCTAGAAGTTCGGTTGACAGATTTAGTGATGAGCAGTTTGAGACGTCTTTCATTGGTGCCAGTGAATTTATTTTCTCATCAACTGGTATACATCAGTAAGAGATTTTTGAGTATTGTAAGCTTTTGTATTTGTAATTTATATTTTGGAAATTTCAGTGCAGTTGGATTTTTATACTTGTCAAGGATTTGTCAGGCTGCACCATACTTCATTCAAAAATTTGAATATCAGCATCTGTGAACATGTGTTTGATATTCTTTAACACTGACTATTCTGTTGCACATGCACTTGCACACACATACATACATATACACACACACAGTGACTTCATCCTTTGTATTCTCATATGCACAGTCTATCTATAAAGATTCAGTTCCTTTCACATATTAATCACCAAAAGTAATTTCATTTGAAAACCTATCAAGTCCATGCATCTTTGTACATGACTTTATTTGTTAGTTTTTTATAGTTAGCTAGCTGATTGAAAAGGGGGCCAAAGAGGAGTTTTGGAAAATATAATT